GTGGATGGGCAGTGATGGACGGGACAAAGTTTGATATTGCTGAAGAACCATCTCTCCAAGGAGGTTGGGCAAAAAGGGTTAGGTTACAATTGTCTGATCATTTCTTTACCGCACACCTTGCGCATCATCAGCGCAACTGTTGGTCCTCGAGCATCAGAAGCCAACATCACGATGCTCAGCAAGTGTCCAGTGTCCCAGACACCTGCTCTCTATTTTGAGCCAGGCGAGTTTCTATGGTGGATGGTGGGTTCCGTTTGGCGCCCTACATGGTGGCTCCATACCCGCGGAGCGATGAAGCCAAGGACGAGTCTTGCTCAAAATTCAATTATGGGCTTTTGCGGTTGCAAGTGCGATCAGAACACAGCAACCGGGCATTGAAGGGGCGCTTTCAATGCCTCCATGGGCTTCGGTATCGCATTTCGACCGTTGAACAGGACACTCGCGCCCAAACCGCCATCATTGCGAGCATGTGTGCTCATAATGTGGCTTTAGCATGGGACAGGACCGACGACCTTGGGTTTTTTGTGCAGACAGGGGGCGATTCTGGGGATGGATGGACAGCGTCCGGTGTTGCAAGCGCTCTCCAGGACTACCAAGAGTCAGAAGAGTCCCGTCTGCGCCGCAGAAGGATTTATGAGCAACGGGTGGAGCGTCAGGATGCATTAGATGCTGCTCATGCGGAAAGGCAAAGCACTATGACCAATTGGGCCCTTGCTCGCAATCGTCGTGAGGCAGGCAAAGCTTTCCGCGATCGTCTCAAGGCAGAACTGGACAATGCGAGGGATCATGGGTTCTCCTTTCAAAGGGATCGCAGCCGTCCCGTCGCCGCAGACACACGCCTAGGCCGGGCACGGCGCCGACGTCAGCAGGAGGATGGGGCACTTCGAATCATTCGGGACAATCATAGCGATTCCCTAGCAACATTGTAGCCGGCATTTGCATCCGCATTGGTTGATATGCGATCTAGCGGGCAATTGTTGTCAATTTTAAAGGACCACAAGCTTCATCTTCCTTGGACTTCATGCGGCGCGTGCACAAACTGAGCAATGGGCTTCATCTATGCCATTTCGCCTGAATAGGCGTGGGGTAAGGCCATCGTGGGCCAGGTCCTCTCTAGGGGACTTTTGATGGGCAGGGAGAGCGTCGACAATCATGTCGTAGCAGCCAGTATGGGCTGGTGATTGATGATGACATGAGCAAGACCAGTATGGGTCGGTAAGCGCCACGACAAGAACACGGGGGAGACATCGAGCAATGTGAACAGGCGGAGGATGAGCTGTGATGAATAAAGTCCATTGCCAAGGCAACGGACTTTTGTTGGGGACACATCATTTGCGTGTCCTCATCACCCGATCTGATGGCTCGACAGAGCGCATGTTGCGGCGGCCGCGACGTCCAGGCGAACCTTGGCTGGCCAAGGGAGAGGAGGCACCTGCTGCAACGGCGTCAGCAGCAGAGGGCGGAGGAGAAGAGGCCGTAGGGCCGACAGTTGGAACCGGAGCCACAGCCTGCTCGATGGTGGCCGATGGCGTTGCTGCAGGGGCTACAGAGATGATCTGCATTGCACCAGGCTGATCACCTGCAGCATCTTGAGGGGCAAGCACCGAGGGTGCATCCATAGAGGCCGTCCATTGGTCAATGTCGCTTTGAGTCAACGGGCCCATGGGGCCCACAGACTATCGCGGTTGATCGACGGTGCACGATCTGAGCTTTCACCGTTCGTCAGTGGGGCTGGTGGTGGTGCGGCCGTGTTCTGTGTTGCCAAAGGTGGACCAGGCGCCATAAGGGAGGTTGCAGCAAAGACGGAGTGAGCGTCCGACGGCGGTTGCGGCGTTGCTTGCTGAGCCGTGGTGAGCGCAACGCCAGGCATCGAGGGGCGTGATGACACGCCGGGCGGAGTTGCTGAGTCGCCACTTGCTGGACGAGGGCCGGCATCACCAACATTGGGTGCCATCAGTGCGTTTTCCAGCGGCTCGCTGGGCAATGCCGGCGATTGAGAGGCGGCACCGTTCAGCTCACCAACC